CAAGCTATAGTCTGTTTCCTATTTGTGTTGATTTCCATATCTAAATCTAGGGTGGGCTCGAATGTCGACAAAGTATGAAGAGAATAGAACGGTTTTGTGATATCTACTGTTTTTATGGGGAAAAGCATGAGTATATCTTGAATTTGAAGATTCATTTTGGTTTTTAACCATAATGATCGTGACTCAGTTGCTATTCTAGCAAAAAGCTAATTTGGTGAAAATTGACCAAAAGGGTCCCTAAGCAAACACCAACGATTTAGTTAAATTGCAAAGTAGAAAAATTAATCTTGGCATTGAATATTGTAGTCCAAGAATAGTTTATCTTGCCAAAGTAGTAATATTATCATATTTTCCAAATTTGGAAAAACTATAGTCTGTTTCAAAAACGTGTTTTTTCAAGAAATGGTTTCATTTAAAGCCATTCTTCAAAATTCGATGTAGCTTTTCCATATCAGAACGGTTTTGTCGACAATATGATCAGTGCTGGATGGCCTTTGAAAAATAAGGCCAGTAAATAAACTTTATCTTCATGTCTTTTTGAACAGTACCGTATTTGGTGAAAAAATCAGTTCAAATTTTTGGGCCGATCGGCGGGCAAAAACTAATTCTCAAAATTCAGAGAGTGATCAGATAATTTTTTGAAGACGTGATTTTATCTAGATAGACGCTAGCGCTTCATTTAGCGCGGGCGCTTAATTTTCGGATTTTTTTTTCATTACCGTATAGAAAAAAGACATTTTTTTTTAAATAAGGCTTTGAAAAATGTTGAAAATAGTCATTTTGCTCGGAAAAAATGTAAAACAGCGAGAAATGGGGTCAAATGGACTTTTCATTGACGTAAATTCAAGCTATAGTCTGTTTCCTATTTGTGTTGATTTCCATATCTAAATCTAGGGTGGGCTCGAATGTCGACAAAGTATGAAGAGAATAGAACGGTTTTGTGATATCTACTGTTTTTATGGGGAAAAGCATGAGTATATCTTGAATTTGAAGATTCATTTTAGTTTTTAACCATAATGATCGTGACTCAGTTGCTATTCTAGCAAAAAGCTAATTTGGTGAAAATTGACCAAAAGGGTCCCTAAGCAAACACCAACGATTTAGTTAAATTGCAAAGTAGAAAAATTAATCTTGGCATTGAATATTGTAGTCCAAGAATAGTTTATCTCGCCAAAGTAGTAATATTATCATATTTTCAAAATTTGGAAAAACTGTAGTCTGTTTCAAAAACGTGTTTTTTCAAGAAATGGTTTCATTTAAAGCCATTCTTCAAAATTCGATGTAGCTTTTCCATATCAGAACGGTTTTGTCGGCAATATGATGAGTGCTGGATGACCTTTGAAAAATAAGGCCAGTAAATAAACTTTATCTTCATGTCTTTTTGAACAGTACCGTATTTGGTGAAAAAATCAGTTCAAATTTTTGGGCCGATCGGCGGGCAAAAACTAATTCTCAAAATTCAGAGAGTGATCAGATAATGTTTTGAAGACGTGATTTTATCTAGATAGACGCTAGCGCTTCATTTAGCGCGGGCGCTTAATTTTCGGATTTTTTTTTCATTACCGTATAGAAAAAAGACATTTTTTTTAAATAAGGCTTTGAAAAATGTTGAAAATAGTCATTTTGCTCGGAAAAAATGTAAAACAGCGAGAAATGGGGTCAAATGGACTTTTCATCGACGTTAATTCAAGCTATAGTCTGTTTCCTATTTGTGTTGATTTCCATATCTAAATCTAGGGTGGGCTCGAATGTCGACAAAGTATGAAGAGAATAGAACGGTTTTGTGATATCTACTGTTTTTATGGGGAAAAGCATGAGTATATCTTGAATTTGAAGATTCATTTTGGTTTTTAACCATAATGATCGTGACTCAGTTGCTATTCTAGCAAAAAGCTAATTTGGTGAAAATTGACCAAAAGGGTCCCTAAGCAAACACCAACGATTTAGTTAAATTGCAAAGTAGAAAAATTAATCTTGGCATTGAATATTGTAGTCCAAGAATAGTTTATCTCGCTAAAGTAGTAATATTATCATATTTTCCAAATTTGGAAAAACTGTAGTCTGTTTCAAAAACGTGTTTTTTTCAAGAAATGGTTTCATTTAAAGCCATTCTTCAAAATTCGATGTAGCTTTTCCATATCAGAACGGTTTTGTCGACAATATGATGAGTGCTGGATGACCTTTGAAAAATAAGGCCAGTAAATAAACTTTATCTTCATGTCTTTTTGAACAGTACCGTATTTGGTGAAAAAATCAGTTCAAATTTTTGGGCCGATCGGCGGGCAAAAACTAATTCTCAAAATTCAGAGAGTGATCAGATAATGTTTTGAAGACGTGATTTTATCTAGATAGACGCTAGCGCTTCATTTAGCGCGGGCGCTTAATTTTCGGATTTTTTTTTCATTACCGTATAGGTTACAAGAGCGCAATTATTTGTTTACATTTTACCGGCAAGTTTTTACCCCAAGATGGTACTCAGAATAGAATCCTATACGGCTTCTGATTGGATGATACAGGATTGGAATTACATTTAATCGAAAGCTTATCCAATAAGGTTAGAAAATTGCAGAAAATCATATTCACATTTTACGAAGTATAGAAAATATCCTCCATTTCTGCACGTCGGAGCCATTAAAAATATGCATTTTTCATTAAGCGAAAAAAATAGACGATCTTTTTCAATTGCATTTTAAGTCAATTTCTGCCGCATGACCCTTTATATTTTTTTAGCTGTAATGCAACACTGGCATTTCTAGTAACAGGAACTGCAATCCGTTTTTCCCTAGTTTGTGTAGTCTTCGAGAAAAAAAATACGGAACACCAGTGGTACCCTATGGAAAATGCATTACGAATAATTGCGCTCTTGTAACCTACATGGAAATGTAACACTAATAAAAATATTATTGTTACATTGGAGACTAAATGCCGGAATGCATTGTTGGGTAAGGACCTGATTAATTACGAATGTAACAATAATTATTGAGGCTACGGTTACATTGCGTTATTGTTACATGAAAAACAGCAATGTACGCTAGATTTATTAAACTCTATATCTTCTATAGTTTTGTTGCTTAATTCTTTCATATGTACTAAATAATACTTGTAATAATGATAAATAATAAATATTATTATTCAACAAATGGTGTTTAAATAGTTTTACGTATTATTGGTTTTGATGTTCTTAAAGATACTACTTCAGATTAGTAGTGCCAAAGGCGAAAAATATAGTTCAATGGTTTGTTGTTGAGAACTCGGGCTGAGAAAAGTGTTCACTTCTAAGTATTTAACTGCACACCTACTACTTATTACTGTCATTATACTTTGAACAATGGATGAAGAGATTCCTATTGCCAATTTTGTTTTGGGTGAAAAATTTAAAACTTGGGATGCGTTTGAAACAAAACTGAAACAATATCAAGACACAAATTTCATACAGCTATACAAACGCAGTTCTAAAAAATTGATACATCAATAGCAAAGTTTGCTAACTGTGAACAAAAATACTGTGAACTTCTGTATACATGTATCCATGGAGGACGTAATTTCGTTTCAAAATCAGATGGAGCTCGCCCAAACCAAAGGTAAGTTTTTTTAACCTATATACGAATATCAATGGGTCATAATATCCATGCGAGATTTAAATTACATTCGTGTTATAAAATTAAAGTTTAAATTGACACAGACCAAGTGTCCAACGTTTTTTTTTTCTTTCTTCCAACGACATATTTGCTATTTTGCATTGCTAGTTTAATGAATGTAGTATGTCTGCCTCTGCCTCTTCGAACTCTCTTGCCTCGTTTTTGTTATGAAATTGTGAATTAATTCTTAAAACCTGATCTAAAGCATTGTGTTTTTTAAAAAGACGACCAAAGGAAAAAGAAGAAGGTAAATAACTTTAAAAAAAATTTGGGACAGTGAATATCCCCCCCCCCCTCAGTTTTGATGGGGTTCGTGTTGCTTAGTCTTTAGTTTTCTACGTTGTGTCTTGTGTACTGTTATTTGTCTGTTTGTCTTTTTACTTTTTAGCCATGGCGTTGTCAGTTTGAAAAATGAAAAAAAAAATGGAAAATAATTCAACGGCACTATTCATTAGTACTTGATGAACTTTCGACAATTGATTTGCATTTTTATAACTTTTTTTTTTAGCTATGCTAAGTTAATTTGGATACTGAAATGTGAGGTAAACCTAAAATCCGTAATGGACGGCATTGCGATCATATTGAAAGACGACATGAAACTACACCACATGCTTCCAACCAAAATATTGGATGAGAATATCAACATTGCTAGAGTGAAAAAGTATTTCTCACCAGAAGCATGGCAAACATTAAAGGTTGCCTTATCTTCTAAAAGGGATATCGTAGAATGGAACTGCACGGTATGCGATATGGACGTTCACAATGCGGCATCACTGGTGTGTGATGGCTGCTTAGAGTGGTTTCATCAGAAATGCGTCGGACTTAAACATGCTCCAAAAACCACTTACTGGATATGTAGAAAATGTCATTGTAAATAAAAAATTAAAGAAATTGTATGTAATAATTGTATGTATTGTAAATATAAAATAAATGTCTTCAACTTTTATTATTTAGTACATATTACTAGTCCCATCGTACATTGCTGTTTTCATGTAACAATAACGCAATGTAACCGTAGCCTCAATAATTATTGTTACATTCGTAATTAATCAGGTCCTTGCCCAACCATGCATTCCGGCATTTAGTCTCCAATGTAACAATAATATTTTTATTATTGTTACATTTCCATGTAACCGTAGCCAGTGCCATATAATAAAGTGAGTGTCAACCCTCAACCAATATAATCCCGCGAGCTCTTGGGATTATATTGGTGTCTCGGGTAGATATGGGTGTGATATTAAAAAAGCCATATGATATTCTCTTTTTATTTTTTATGTTTGAATTTCCCGCGGAAAAATATTTGGCCAATCGATATCTTACTGACATCGACCAATAATAGTAAGCCATACAAACGTAACATGGACTTGTTGTAAACAAGATGTTTTGACTTGTCAAGCAAAAATATTATAACCCAAACTCTAAACAACAAAATGGCTACAGTGCTCGGCGTTGGGCCAGGGTTGTTTACCTTAGCTTTGATATGGTCTATTTGTCTTTTGCTCTGTTTGCTTCTCTCAAGAGCGGAAGGGGCGATTGCGTAAGTTGCAGAAAAAAGAGAAGGAAGATATCAACATGTTGCCTGTTGGGGAGATCCTCATAAATTAAAATTTGGGTATTATACCCCAAAACAGTAACACGTTGGACACTCATTGCCAGAATGCTAGGTTGGGTTAGGAACCAATTAATTACGAAGTATCAATAAAATTTGTGTCAACAGTTACGTTAATGCAATTCAATGTATGCTAAGAATAGTATATGTCCATATGTATGTAATATATTATTATTAAAATGCAACTTAAAAACGAGTGAAACTGCAGTGTGCACGTCGGTTTTGCACACTAAACAGTTCCAGTCTGCAATAGACGTATTTACACTTGTATGCAAATTTGTCCGCCATTACGTAAAATCACACAGGTTCCCGTAAACTTTGACATCATAATTCAAAACATTTGACGTCACAATTATAAAGTGATTGTTGCCTGACGTCAAAAGGTGATTCCGAGTAGATCTAAGGTCATTCAAGGGCAAAATATAGCTAAATACCAAAAGTGTAAATACATGTATTTCCCTTTTTGAAGTTATACCGGCTTTAAATGCCTGCCATGCTTCAGGTGAAAAGTATTTTTTGAATCATGAAATATTTATATTTTCGTCCAAAATTTTTGTTGAATATGTGATGTTGTTTTAAGTAGTCCTTTAATATTATTTCATTTCCGTTTATAACTGATGTTATGTTATGTTCAACTCGGCTTTTAATATCCAAATTAGCATGGTTCAAATGGGAAAAAAATAAAACATAAAAATACGAATCGAGAACTATTTGTGAAGGCAATTGATTTTAACATTTGCTGACAGGTGTCAACAATATTTACAAATGTAGCTGAATATTAACCTATTTTCATTATTATGGTTTGTATCGTTAATTAATACATTTAATAGTGCCAGAAAATAAAATTATTTCGTGGAAAAAAACGCGGGAAACTTAGTCTGTGTCACGTTAAACTTCAATTTTATAACATGAATTTAATTATTTAAAATTTGTATTGTTATTATGACCTGTTGATATTTATATAAGAAAAAAACTTGCTTTTCCAAAGTGTCTATATTATATGTCTCTAATCAAGGATTTGTATAGTTGCTCTGATCTAATGTAACAATAATGCAACATAACCGTGGACACAAATATTATTGTTACGTTCATAATTAATCGGTTCCTATCCCAATCTAGCATTCAGGATATTAGTGTGCAACAAAACAATAACTTTTTTGTTACTGTTACGTTTCAACGTAATCGTAGTCAGTGCCTAAAAGTTAATAGCCTTGAAAAAGTCTGATTTTTGGAGGCCATTATCTTTGTATTCAGTTCTCATTTGAAATATGCTTTTAAAGGGGAAAGTGCTGCCATTTATATGAATTTTTTGCCATGACAGCCATGTATGAAATATGAAATTGGATTTTTTTACCACTGTAAGTTGATACCCAATTCTGTATATAATAATCATAAATGGGTGAAGCACCCATTTACATGATTTATGACGATCTTCCCCAACCTGACCAAAACATTCAAAATATATAAACAAATTTATTTGGTTTCTTTCATAAGACCATGAAGAATTGTGCAACACTGTGGCTTTGATTTGTTATTATAACGTTTTATAATAAGTAAATTACTGATATAATAATCTTCATATAATCACGATCTGATTAAAACCAGCCCCCACTATCCACTTGCGTTTGTACAAACGTAATAATCATAGCATCCTTTAAGGTTCTTAATTACATATGAACAAAATTTGTTTTTATAAATTTGCTCTGAGTGCAGACAAACGGTTAACCTGTACAGTTGAAAAAGTTTTAGCTTCCAGGAGATATATAAAAACATATCCGTCTATAGAAATATTTAAAACTTGTATGCAAATTTGTGTGCCATTACTCAAAATCACCACTTCCCACAAAATTTAGCATTCCAATTTTAAAAAATACATCAGAATTAAAAAGTGATTGCTGCATGACATCAGAAGGTTAATTTGAGCAAGATCTCAAGATCCTGAAGGTGTTAATACGTCAATCAATATATGTAACATGCCATCATGGGCTGATTATTGCTTTGATAAAGTATTTGTATTCATAAGTGGAAGAGAAACTGGCAATGCCGTGGCAGAATTGTAAAAGACAAGTCTACTAAACACTACCTAGAAAACTAAAGACTGAGCAACATGAACTCCACCAAAAAAACTAGTGTGATCTCAGGTGATCCAGAAGGGTTAGCAGACCTTGCTTTACATGTCATGTTCTTGCTATAAAATATGTGAGCAAGTTTTATCAAACAATTAGGCATCATGCATTACCCGCTTGGTAATTGACTCGTATCTAACTCTAAGACATCACCAAATTTGTAAACAATCATTTAAATTTTCTGACAAGTCCTGAAAAGGCTGTCAGAGCAATCTTGGTCTATAATGTAATAGCAGTAATGTAGAAAATATTAAAATAAAATATTTTAAAGTTGCACTTCTGGTATATTGTTTATTCCATTATATCAAGATAAAGGTACATTTTGTATAACTATGTAAATGCTCTACAGTGCATTTTTGGGGCAGCCAATTCATAGAATCTCTGTGGATTCAGGATCCCAAAAGGGATTAGATCGAACTATGAAGCTTCAACTGAAGACTTTCAGATTCACTGGTTAGTGTGATGGGACTTATTCTATCCTTTGACCTGAAATGTCAATATGAAAATGGTCCTTTGGAAAAATGAGATTTTCTAAACAGAACAGAAAGCTATTACACTGGACAAAATGCTGGCCGAAAACCATTCACCCAATTCTTCAAGATTATTAATTATTACTTACTAAATGTATGTTATCAGTCAACAATTTAAAATATTGAAAATGGATGAAATTATACAATTAAATCCCATGCCTATCTCTTACCCCCTATTTTGTTGGTGTCTTTTTTCTATAGTTTGATATAAGAAACTTTTTTTTGTAGATATGCTGGTATAGGATCTGTCTTATTTGCTGGGTTGATAACTGTTATATTAGTTGTATTACCAAGAGAACCTAAAGTACCTACCATAGAAGAATCGGTCACTGTAAGTTTTATTACATACTTCATGTTCATTGTTACCAGAATAAGGCAGACTAACACCCTTACCCTATCTATCTCAATTTTTATGCCCCCACAGTCATTTGACAGTAGTGGAGGGGGCATTTAGGTTTACCCTTATCCATACATCCGTCTGTACGTATGTATGTCCCGAAATTGGATTCTGTTCTCTAACTTTATATATAAATAAGAAGATGTGGTATGAGTGCCAATATGACAACTCTCCATCCAAGTCACAATGTATAAAAAGTAAATAATTATGGGTCAAAGAATGGCCGTCAATATGAAGCCTTGGCTCACACCAAATAGCAAGCTATAAAGGGCCCCCAAATGACTAGTGTAAAACAATTCAAACAGGAAAACCAACGGTCTAATCTATATAAAAAACGAGAAACACTTATGAACCACACCAAAATTTAGTTTGCCTCAACCAAATGCTATGAATCTTATACACAATGCTTATAACCACAAAATGCAGATCAAGTTCGAATTTGGGTGGCATCACTTTTACAATTCTGGAGTATCTGTGCCCCATGGACATACTCTCTATTTATTCTCAGACTGTTATGAGGTGTAAATATTAAAAGTCCAATCTGTTTACTCTTTTTATACGCCCGTTTATGGGACGTATTATGGTATACCGTTGACTGTCCGTCTGTCTGTCCGTGTCGTCAACATGTCGGACATTAATTCAAAAATGCTTTAACCAATATGCATGAAACTTTGGTGAATTGTTTATATCTATTGACGTGAGCTCCCTTTCGTTTTTTATAAATTTCAGATTTACCATTTCAGAGTTTTGGGGTTTTATTCATTAAAAAAGGGGAGATTTTCCAGTTTTCGGACAATAACTCAAAAACAATTTCACCAACTTGCATGAAACTTTTTGTGAATTATTCATATCTATTGACGTGAGCTCTCTTTTGTTTTTTTATAAATTTCGGATTTACCGTTTCCGAGTTTTGGGGTTTTATTCATTAAAGAAAGGGGGATTTTGCAGTTTTCAGACAATAACTTAAAACAATTTCACCAATTTGCATGAAACTTTTGTGAATTGTTCATATCTATTGACGTGAGCTCTCTTTTGTTTTTTATAAATTTCAGATTTACCATTTCCGAGTTTTGGGGTTTTATTCATTAAAAAAGGGGGGATTTTCCAGTTTTCAGACAATAACTCAAAAACAGTTTCACCAATTTGCAAGAAACTTTGGTGAATTGTTTATTTCTATCGGCATGAGCTCCCTTTTGATTTTTATAAATTTCAGAATATACGTTACCGATTTATGGGGTTTTATTCATTACAAAAAGGGGGATTTTCCAGTTTTCGGACAATAACTCAAAAATGCTTTCAGCATTTTTTATGAAACTTTGGTAAATTGTTTATATCTATTTTTGTAAGCTACCTTTTGATTTTTATAAATTTTCGATTTAATGTTTCTGAGTTACAAGATTTTATTTGTTTATAGTCTGACAACAGATTTACTAAGTATTATGCAACAGCACAGTATATTTATAGGCTGATCCAGGGGGGCCCTGGGGGGCTCGGGCCCCGCCTTTCGTGGGAAAAATTCGGTTGATTATATAGGGAATCACTGAAGCATGACTGGAGCGGGCCCCCCCTTAGGTCAGTCAGCGGGCCCCCACTTATGAAAAGTTCTGGATCCGCCACTGGTATTGCACAACAGCAAGAAATCTTTCATATAACCAATTTCAAGTTCTTTGACTACATTTATTCAGAAACCTATAATATATCAAATATATAATTACAATCCAAATTCAGACCTGTATCAAGCTTGAATATTGTGTCCATTTTTGCCCCATCTGTTCAGGGTTGGACCTCTGCGGGCGTATCCAGCTGTGCTCAGCGAAGCAGTTTATTACAACTGCTGAATGAGTTTTTAAATCGAGACATAATATTTAATCATTTCTGTGTGTAAGAATTGATTTCTTACATGTAGACTTTCACTTTCTAATTAAGACTTTCTGTTTTTATGCTAATATGATGATTCTTTTGTAATAAACAAGTTTTTTGAACAGTAACAAATTAATTCAACTGACAAATCCTACTTTTTTCAGGTTCATAGCCTAAAAACAAGATAATACTTCTCTGCAAAATAAGCATTTAACTATAAGCAAATTATTTATTTTTTTCCAGATTTTTTACTAAGAAATTTTTAGATCTTATGCTATGAATTAAGCATTTGATTACAAGCAATTCCAAATATTTTGTTTTATTTCAGATTTTTGACTATGGAATAATATACAGATATTTGATGTTATCAGGATGTGCATTGTTTATAATAATTGGACTAGTTGCATATTTGTCTGATCACATGATGATGCCAATTTATGCTAAACCAATTAGACGGCTACGTTAGATAGTATAGTGCTTGTGCCCTAGCTACAATGGAGTTGAAGCTTACCTTATTGGATTACAAATGCAGAAACGCAGAAGGAAATACATAGTTCTGGATATATTGTAAATTGTTTCTGTGAAAGTTCGAATGATTTAATGATGTACACAAATGTATTGTTTTTATTTATTTTTATATATTTTATGCATATATAATTTTGTAAGTAAATGATAGTGAAAATATAAAAGTGATCTCTTTATTTTGTATTAATATTTGAAGCCTTGAGTTTAGAGAAACTAGAGGCTCCAAAAAGTCTGCAAAAATGGTTTATAACTTCAATGGAGTCTATACAGATTTTGATCATGTTTGACCTCTTTAGTTCTTGTCTTGCTGATCATTTTTGCTGCTTACATTTCTCTACTTCACATGGATACTTTTCAAAATGATAGCTGAAAAAAAGTTAAAAAAAGCCAATTAAGGGAAATAACTCCTAATTAAGGAGTCACTATTTTAGTCATGCTGACTTATCTGTAGTTCTTTCTTGCTGATCATCATTACTTGTCAAAGTTCCTCTCTATCTTTATATAATAATTTAAATATAAATAGCCAAAGCACAACCAATAACAATAATTGTCAATATGGAGTCCATTGATAATTTCTGTCTTACCTTTTTGTAGACCTTATTTGATGATAAAGTATCTGTCTATCTATTACACTTTATAGTTATCAATTGAAAAAAGGCAAAAATGCTAAAATTGGTTAAAAAAATTGTCATTCAACAGTTGTTAGTCTAAGTTAATTATTTCAACTCCTATAAAAAGTCAATTGACAATTTGTCTAAATCATTAATGAATAAAAAGGATATCAGTAATCACAAAAAAAAATATTGAATAGTATACAACAGACCATGTCAAAAGGGGGAAAAAACTGGTAAAAATCTTTATGCAAGGATAGAAGCTCTTAAAAGGAGTTACTTGCTAATTTTTGTCATTTGACAGTAGAGGATCTTTGTTCTTTTGTCTTTTTATTGTACTGTGGATTCATTTTTACTCATTGTATATCAATGTTCATGTACTGATAAGGTAAACCAGGAATTAAATATTCAACAAAGTACACATTTTTTATAGGCTTGTATGAAAACTATGAAAAAGCACGAAATTAAATATCCATGAAAATGCAATTTTTCCTCAATTCATGAAATAAATGAATCTGCAGTAGTTCTCAAGATAGTAATTGGTTAAAAAAATGATTTGAGGGAAATAACTCCTATATAAAGGAAAACATTAGTCAACAGAATGCAAATGCTGAAATGTCTCTTATGCTTTACTGATAATTATCAAATTACGCATTTTAAGACGAAAGTCTTTAAAATCAAGGTCTTATTGTAGGTATAACAGAAACATATAAAAAAAATTAAGACCAAGGTCAGATGAATTCTGTCAGTCTAACATGTAAACCTTACATTCATTCTAAACACATTGATATAGTATCTGAGATACCAACCGAAATGTTCGTAATGTAAATATAACCAATGAACCATGAAAATGAGGTCTGTGAGAGGCACATGTACAACTTACAATCATTCTAAACACATTGATGTAGTATCTGAGAAACCAACCTAACTGTGCGTAATGTAAATATAACCAATGAACCATGAAAATGAGGTCTGTGAGAGGCACATGTACAACTTACAATCATTCTAAACACATTGATGTAGTATCTGAGAAACCAACCTAACTGTGCATAATCTAAATATGACCAATGAACCATGAAAATGAGGTCTGTGAGAGGCACATGTACAACTTACAATCATTCTAAACGTGAAGTAGTATCTGAGAAACCAACCTAACTGTGCATAATCTAAATGTGACCAATGAACCATGAAAATGAGGTCTGTGAGAGGCACATGTACAAATTACAATCATTCTAAACATGTGGTGTAGTATCTGAGAAACCAACCTAACTGTGCATAATCTAAATATGACCAATGAACCATGAAAATGAGGTCTGTGAGAGGCACATGTACAACTTACAATCATTAGATAACCAGTCTAATTGACGTATTACTAAAAGTATCTGAGAAATGGACCTAATAACTATAATTCAATAATATTAATCTGTTCGTCAAGAGGTCAGATGAACCCAATATGGTTCACCTATAACTAAAAGTTTCTGAGAAAAACATTGAAACTTGGATACATGATTTTTACCTGCATCTTCTAATGCAAAAGCAGGTCTAGTAACCTTACTAACCTACCAGAAAGACCTTTAGGTAGAAAATTCAAAGTTTTCTAGACTTCTTTGAGAGGGAATGCATTAATATTTGGTCTGCAGCTTGATAATGTTGAGTTGTAGTGAGTAAGCAGTTTTTACATCTACTGTGTAGCCACTCCCTGTTTGCCAATTGTCAAAAGTTTGAAATTTTACAACACTTATTGTACAAGGAAAGTTTTCGTCAAACTTTTCTTGGCTTCTATCATGGGAATGATTTAATATTTGGTCTGCAACTTCATAATGTTGAGTTATAGCAGTAAGCACTTTTTGTCTCGCCTTGACGGAGTCAAAAAGCGAGACATAGGTATGCTGTTTCCGGCGTCGGCGAGGGCATCAACAATGTATTAGTTTGTGATTAGGTCTAGTTCATGGTGAACCACTAGTGGTAGGTCAATGATATTTGTTATGCAGTTGAATTAGCATTGGCACATCTCATTACCATGGAGATTATTTGGCCCTGCCCCCTCAGTCAAGGTCTATTGACTTTGAAACTTTTCATAGTTTACATGTATTAGTTTGTGATTAGGTCAATTTATGGGGAACCACTAGTGGTAGGTCAATGATATTTGGTATGCAGTTGTATAAGCATTGGCATATCTCATTTCCATGGAGATTATTTGGCTCCGCCCCCTTAGTCATGGTCTATAGACTTTGAAAATTTTGCTAAGTTAACATGTATTAGTTTGTGATTAGGTCAGTTCAAGGGGAACCATAAGTGGTAGGCCAATGTTAATTGGTGTTCAGTTGTATAAGCATTAGCACATCTCATTTCCATGGAGAATATTTGGCCCCGCCCCCTCAGTCATGACTTTGAAACTTTTGCTTAGTTTACATGTATTAGTTTGTGATTAGATCAGTTTAAGATGAACTGCTTATGTTAAGTTAATGATATTTGGTATGCAAATTTATTGGCATTTGCAAGTATTGTTACCATGGAGATTATATAGCCCCACCCCTGATCATGGTTCATTGACTTTGAAACTTTTACATAGTTTACAAGTTAATGTTTGTGTTTAGGTTTGTTTAAAGGGAATGACTTATAATAAGTCAATGGTATTTGGTATGCAGTTGTAATAGCATTGGCACATCTCATTCCATGGTGATTGTTTAGCCATGTACCTTCAGTCATGGTTCATCGACTTTGAATATTTGCATAACTTAAATGTTTAAGTATTGCTATTTTAATTTCAACATTTGTATTATCAAAATTACAAAAAGGCGAGACATATCTCTGTGATAACAGCTTATTTACTTTCACTGTCCAGTTGTCCAAAATCAGGAGCCTGTAATTCAGTGGTTTTTCGTTTGTTGCTGTAAACGTACATGTATATCATATTTGTTTTTGTCTAGCCTTCGACTTTTGTCGAAAAAGCAAGACATAGCGATCCTACATTCTGTCGGCGTCGTCATCGTCGGCAGCGTCCACAAATATTCACTCCGTGGTTAAAGTTTTTCAAATTTTAATAACTTTCTTAAACTATCCTGGATTTCTACCAAACTTGGACAGAAGCTTGTTTATGATCATAAGATTATATTCAAAAGTAAATTTTGTAAAAAAAAGGTCCATTTTTTCCGTATTTTACTTATAAATGGACTTAGTTTTTCTGCCAGGAAACATTACATTCACTCTGTGGTTAAAGTTTTTGAAATTTTAATAACTTTCTTAAACTATCCTGGATTTCTACCAAACTTGGAAAGAAGCTTGTTTATGATCATAAGATAGTATCCAGAAGTAAATTTTGTAAAAAAAAAATCCATTTTTTCCGTATTTTACTTATAAATGGACTTAGTTTTTCTGCCAGGAAACATTACATTCACTCTGTGGTTAAAGTTTTTGAAATTTTAATAACTTTCTTAAACTATCCTGGATTTCTACCAAACTTGGAAAGAAGCTTGTTTATGATCATAAGATAGTATCCAGAAGTAAATTTTGTAAAAAAAAAATCCATTTTTTCCGTATTTTACTTATAATTGGACTTAGTTTTTCTGCCAGGAAACATTACATTCACTCTGTGGTTAAAGTTTTTAAAATTTTAACAACTTTCTTAAACTATCCTGGATTTGTACCAAACTTGGACAGAAGCTTGTTTATGATCAAAAGCTAGTATTTAGAAGGAAATTTTGATAAAATTTTGTTCCATTTTTTCCGTATTTTACTTATAAATGGACTTAGTTTTTCTTCCAGTCAACATTACATACAGTCTGCAGTTTAAGTTTTTAAAACATTTATTAGATTCATAAATTATCCTGGATTTTTACCAAACTTGTACAGAAGCTACTTACAATCAAAAGATAGTATAGAGAGGAATATTTTTATTATTTTTTTTCCTCATTTTTGTTGAGCCTGCGATTAACAGCAAAAGTAGGCGAGACACTGGATTCCGCGGAACCCTTACGAATTTTTCTTATAATGTTTTGTACATAAATCTGGTCTTTAGTTTTCTTGTTTAGATTATTTTACCCTTCTCCTGTAAGGGTTTTTTTTATAGCTGGCTATGCAGTATGTGTTTTGCTCTTTGTTAAAGGGTGTATGGTGACCTATAGTTACTAATTTCAAGGTCATTTTGTCTCTGGTGAAAAGCTGTCTCATTTGGCAATCATACCACATCTTATTTTTATGATTGTGAAACCTGAACATTAACCAATAAACTATGAAAATAAGGTCAAGGTCAAATGATTCCTGTAGGTTGCACTTTGTAAATACAGCTGTTTCACAAACAACGCCTCTTTTGGGGAGATATATAATATTCATAGATATTTGTTTTGTTTACCTACTGGTTCCCAGATATGATCTCTATGTTTCATCTCGTAGAGACATAACTTGGGAATGTTACCAGTATAAATAATCATGAATAGCGGTCAAATTGAAATCTGTGGAAGACCCAAAGTGAAGGGAGGGGTAGTACAGAATTTTAGTATAAGTTTAAACTCTTGAAGTTTGGGACATATAAATGTTGAAAATATGCCACGCAG